GTCTAAAGCATTTAAAACACTGACATGATGCTGTTTTCTATCTAAATGTTTAAACACACACGGAATCAAATCTAACATAATCCAAATACAAAATTAAAAAAAAAAAAAAAACGAAGGCTCTCACTGAGGCTGATGTATTTACCAAATTAATTAATAAAAAAGGTTTTGTAGCTCTTACTCGACTTAGCATCGTTTTAACTACAGAGTTAATCTGTGGTTTAAATCATTTAAACTCTGAGAATGTTTCGGTCAAATGTAATGGTTTCATTTCTGTAACTATATGGTTTTTGTTTKTTKTTTTTTCAAACTTTGCCATCAGCAGTTTTTTTGGCTTCAGTAATCAKAAAAAAACATTTGGCTCCACGTGCCTGCTTTTCATTCACATCCATCTCGTGACTGAGCTAAACTCTTATATTGTGTTTTATAAATAACTAATGACTCTGGCTTAATGACTCAGGAACCCTGCACACTGACTGAAGGGTGACTGGAGGAGGAAGTAGCTTCTGATTGCATCTCATCCACAGTCAGTTTGGTTTTCTTGTGAAATTTACCAACCCCTGAWGGTTTGTTCCTCTCTGTCTCTGCAGCAAGGCCCCAGTGTTGCTGAGACGATGGTGTGTTTGGGTCCCACAGAGGTCAGGCATCGACTCCAGAAACTTCTTCAGCTCTCAGAGATTCCTGAAAAAGATGGTCATCATCTTAGTTTATTTTAAACTAAATGACTGGAGCCAGGAGAAGGCTTCTGCTGTTGGACTTATGTATGTTAAAGATAAAACACACTTTACGTCACTTACTTTTGTTTTAAGGGTCTCTTCTAAAATGAACTGTAAGTTTCAATAATGTGCATTAAAATATTTTACACTTTATTAATAATTTGAGAGCAAAAATCACGTTTATGTTTCCTTTTTTGGTTCATTTGCATTAAATATTGCAATTTGCATTAAACTGCTGAAATGAATGGGAAGTACCTGGGTGATTTTATGCAAATGTTTTAACTTCAGTAAATATATATTAAAAAAAAAGCTTTATCAAAGTTTAGCTGACAGATCTCTTCTCAACTTAGTGAAATGAAACAAAAAGTTTCTGTTCACGTATGACCAGAATTACAAAACACAAGAAACACGTGAAAAGTTAAAACTCATAGTTTCTACCCCATACAACAAATGTAGTTATTTTGTATTTTTTTATAAATTAACACACACTGAAAACAACAAGGTAAAACAAAAAATAAATAAAACAACTAATTTAGATTTGTGTCTTTTAGGTGTGTAAAACTCTTAATACGCTTAAGATTTTTTTAAGTTGGCAAGGTGAAATGCAGAAGTGCAACTTTAAAGTCTTTTATATGTTACAAGATTCAATTTTGTATATTTTAAATAATACTGTCTTAGTAAAAAGAAGATTCTTGACATTGTCATCACTTGTATGT